GCGTGCACCTCACGTCATAGAGAATTCACAAAAAAACACTCAGAAAAAAATATATATATGTTTAGGTCCTGAAATAATTTTTGGTGGGGGCCGAACGCCGTCGGGTTCGGATCCCGTACGGGACCCCGAACGCCCGTACATACGGAGGTCTGCCCGGGGATCTCCGTACGTACGGGCTGGTAACCCTATATATATATGTATATATTTTCAATCTTTTATATTAAAAAAAATATCAGATAAAAAACTATGTTATCAGAATGTCGGGACCACGTGTCCGGCCGAGCAGAAAAAAAAAAAATAAAAAAAAATACGAGGTTGTTTTTTCGGGCGACTGGGTGGAACTTGTACTTGGATACACGCCCAGATGCCCGACCGGGCATTACCCCCGAGCGGGGTTCTGGGCAACCCGAGCGTAAAAAAATATATATATATATATATATATATATATATATTTCTCTTTTATTTATTTATTTTTTATTGTAATACAAATAGTTTTTGACTTAGGTTCATATCCGAATTCCTCACCGAATCGGAGATTAAAAAAAAAAAAAAAATCATAGTAAAGGACATTCCTTTAACCCCGTGTAACCCCTTTAAATACAATTTATACCCCCCTTCCCACCCTTGACAACCAACTCTAAAAAAATAAAACGAACCCATAGTTTTTTTTGTTTTTTTTTTTGCACGTTCGGGTACCCCAGGCGTCATGCCCGGGTGCCCACCCATGTAGACCCGACAGAGTATGAAAAACATCATAACTCTGTTATTTTTGTTTTTTTATTTTAAATTTGACAACGAATTTTGATGTGACCCTGAGACAAAAGTTGCTCAGTTCATTTTTCAGAATAACATAGTTTGTTTTTATGATTTTTTAGATTTTGTTTTTGTTGGGACCTTTCCCGGTCGTTACATAGTCAGGTCGCCCAGGAAAAATGGGTGACCCGGGTGACCTGGCTGGTAGCCTAGATAAAAATATAATTTTTTTCTTATTTTTTTTTTACAATTTTTTGTCTAAAAAGAATTATCCCTTTTAATTACGTCGACATTTGGGTTTCTCCCCTACCGCCCGGGTCCCCGAAACTAGCACGGGACATGCTTGAGACGACCGATCGGACAACTTGGTAGGGCGGGTCCCAACCCATATAAAATATATATATATATATATATATATATATATATATATATCGTCAAATAGAACTGCCCGGTAAACCGTAGGCGGAGAGGGAGAAGAGGACAACAAACGAGGGGCTGTGACAAACTGTTTCGTCGGAGTTTCACC